AGAAAAGAAAAGAAAAGAAAAGAAAAGAAAAAGAAAAGAAAAGAAAAGAAAAGAAAAGAAGGAACAACATGTCTCTCCCCCAACTTTTCTCTGATTGTATCTATTAGGTAATTATAGCTGGAGAAGCCATTTGGACTGCTGTAAAAATATTTTCTTATCCCTATTTACCTATGGAGAAATCAAACCTGTGAATTAATGAAAAAAAAAACCAAACACTCATGACTGGTTCCATCATGTCCTTCCAAGGGCACTGCCAAGGGCACTAATTCTTTATTCACTGGGCCACCAAGATGCAGGGAGGGAAAGCCACTCATAATCCAGGGCTTCTTAGTTTTTAGCTCTCCCATTCTCCTTTACACTTTGCAATATTTTCTCTTGGGCATAAGCACACATTTACCATGAACTTACTTATATTAACTGCTCTTATATTAAACAGAGTAGGGATACAAAACAGTAAAAATCACACATCTATATACTGGATGACAGTCTAGTCCTTGCAGAAACTAAGAGCTATGAGCCTGTAAGAAAATTAAAGTCTTAACTAAGCAACTCCAACAAATAGCAGGAGACATTTTAAACCACCATAAAAAGATTCTGCGCTATTCCCAAAGGCTGAGATAAATGGCTGTAAACTTGAGGCTGTAAACTTCAAAAGTAGTTTTAGTATTCTAACAGCTTCCTGCTTAGAAACATAACAGGAACTTTCCTAATTCAGGTAAATCCACAAAGCGAGTGAACAGTTCAGTATCAATTCAGAATGCCACTGTTATATGCCCTTTCCTGGAACATTCTTAAAAGGCTTTTAGTTCAGACAAGACTATTACAGTACAGCAGGATGTGGTCTCTTGAACATGAAATATTAGCTTAGAACTCTATGTATTAAGTTTCTTGTATAATTTACCAAGCTTAGTAGCTCCCTCTGGTGGATAGTCAGGAAACTGACCCTCTGAAGGAACACTCACTGTACGTCGCAGGCAACGCCCTTTGGTAGGCTCTGCTGTCTGCTCTTGTCCTCCTTCGACAGCCACCTGTACATGAAAAGAATACAGGAATGATACAATTTTCAGCTTTCAGTGTAAATAACTGGAAGCACAGATTATTTTTTCCGGTTCAGAAGTCTTTGCTATTGCCCTAGAATCACATTGCACGTTGCAGATATTTATTTAATAGATGATATCTGAGCCAAGTTTTAACTCTATATGCCTAGGATGGTACCTAAGACCTTGGACATGGTGAGCACACCATCTGGAACTGAGCCTGGATCCCTTTTCTAAATTATATGTTCCTTCAACTGCATTTTCTTCTTTCAAAAAAATGTATCATGATATAATCAGTGGGGATAATGGTTGTGGTTGAGGTGGAAGCAGTAATCACGCACGCTCAACCACCATCAAGATTGTGGCCTATATTGAGTTTGTGTTGGTAATATGAGCAATTTCAGATACTGAACTCTGAATTCAGCTCTTTGTCTAGCTTCCATGGCTGCCTTCTGATACACAAACCATGGTTCAAGTTTATTCGTTCAACTGTGCAGTACAGAAAACAAGACATTTTCTCTTCACCCTTCGGGCAGTTGAGCTGCCAGCTGAGTTGCATATATAATATACTTAGAAAAAGAGCAAATGATTAAGAAGCACAGGAACCGAATTACATGAGGACAAGCTTTTGTAAAATAAGGTTAGATAAGGATTTTCAAAATCATGATCCAGAAGTAGTGACCTGAAATGACAATATAGCTCCATGAAACATAGGGAAACCTCTATTTTCAAGATGTCCAAGAGTTGCTGATGAAGAAGTTATAATTGCCTTGTGTAGAAATTTTATTCAAGAACTTTAATTATTTCCTTCATTTGGAATTTTAGCTAAGATGTCTGTTTCCAGCTGGACACAATTTTGACAATTGTCTGCATTTTAACTTATGGTTATAGATATATTTGTTGGCAGTATAAATTCAAAAAGACAGGTGTGTGTAATTTCATAGTATTTATGAAGGTTATTGATTAGATTCATTTGCAGTTTGTTTATTTCTCAGCATCAAATGAATGGAAAATCCAGCAAGGCATTCTAGCAGTGTACACATTTTTCCAAATCATTTCTGAAAAATTTAATGCATCCTCTTCTAAATAACTGAGTGGTAAGTAAGTGGTGAACCATGAATTGGAATTGGCTTACAACTGACCAATAATTGTTTCACCACTTGCCAATATTTCTCTAGTAACTTTTAAATGTTTCAAGCTCTAATCAGACTCAATATAATGGATTACAACACAAAGTTATTTTCAGGTTTTAGCAGTTCGTTGGTGGCTGTATCTGGAGTGATTGAACAATTTGGTCCCTTGGCCTTAGATCCCATAGAATACTCAATGTTGTCTGTCTAGCACTGGTAAAACAGGCTCCCTCTTGCAGGCCCCCCTCCCTATCTCCTCCAAAATTGCTCTGGGGTGAGGGGAGAAGGGAAATCCTTTTGCACAAGTGGAAATCTGCATGCATAATTCTGATTTAGACCATAGAGTGACTGCAGATCTTTATTTGGGAAGAAACTAGTGCTGGTATTCTGATTCACACTTTGTATAAATAAATATGCCAGAAGTAATTTCCTGAGTGAAGCATGGTTGGCAAGAAAAGCAGTTGGGGAAAAAAGCAGATCTCTACTGTTCTCAATTTTCTGATTTGTAAGTGGTAGGCTATATTCTATTTGCCCTCAAAGGATCTTTTCAGATGCCAGAAACATTCAAATCAGCTTTCCAACCAATATGTATAATGGCTAAAAGTTCAAAGACTGTAGGTGCTACATTATCCATGATAATCACTAGGAATGCCAAATTATGAGTGTCAAAAAGATGTGTCTGGTTTAGAGAGCTGCCAGTAGGTGTTACATGCACACCAACATTTGCTCTAAAGCAGGGATCCCCAACCCCCGGGCCACGGACCGGTACCAGTCCATGGCCTGTTAGGAACCAGGCCACACAGCAGGAGGTGAGTGGCAGGCATGCAAGCAAAGCTTCATCTGTATTTACAGTCGCTCCCCATCTCTTGCATTACCGCCTGAGCTCCACCTCCTGTCAGATCAGCGGCGGCATGAGATTCTCATAGGAGCGCGAACCCTACTGAACTGCGTGTGAGAAGGATCTAGGTTGCGTGCTCTTTATGAGAATCTAATGCCTGATGATCTGAGGTGGAGCTGAGGCGGTGATGCTAGCACTGGGGAGCGGCTGCAAATACAGATTATCATTAGCAGAGAGGTTTGACTGCACAGAGACTATAATAAATCAATTGCTTGCACATTCATATCAAAACCCTATTGCTTGAATCATCCCGAAACCACCACCCCCGGGTCCGTGGAAAAATTGTCTTCCATGAAACCGGTCCCTAGTGCCAAAAAGGTTGGGGACCGCTGCTCTAAAGCATCTTTCTCCCTTCAAATCCAAAATGCTTCACATCTCTCTTACTGCTGTCCAAGAACAACTGTGTTGGTGGATTCTGCATCTTCTTATCAGTGAGATATTATTTAAGTGCTGGGATAATGCAATATGTTGACAATGCAATTCTACCTTGTAAAAGAAAAAAGGTGTTTGGATTCCATGCAGCAGATTATTCACCTCTCAACAAAGATAAAAAGCCATTTTCTGGAAAGACCAAAGGTATGTGTTGCAATTCTTATCAGAAGTCAAAATCTTATACTTTCTCAAGACACATTTAGCATCAAAAGCTTATACTTCTCCCACATTTAGCATCAAGGACCAGCACGGCAGCTGAAACAAATGTCTAAGTAATTATGTAATTACTGACATACTCAATTAATTACAGGACTGAGATTTTAAAGAAGCTTTCATTCAATTATTCTAAATTTCATTATACATATAATTCTATTTTTTTTAAGTACTTCCTGCTCTTCTATTGCACATACTAGGAATGAACTCATTGGCAGGTTTCTGCTGAATACAAGATACTTTGATAACCATGTCTCCCTTTTCTGCCATATAATTCCAGATAATTACTTTCAGTCTGAAACAGATGTAAGGTTTAAGTGCAATGTGAAAAATTACCAGGAAACTTAACGATCAGTTGATCAATCAGTCTTTATTATGGTCACAGTTTTTAAAAAGAAGCATAAAAATATAAAAGAATATATATACAGGTAGTCCTCACTTAGCGACCACAATTGGGACCAGCAACTTGATCATTAAGTGAAGCAGTCACTAAGTGAAGCTGTAACTGTGCATATGATCTTACTTCAGCCTTCCTTTGCTTTACAGACCTACAAAAGTCGTAAATGCGAGGATTGGTCATAAAGTTACTTTTTCATCACTGTCATAACTGCAAATGGTCATTAAACAAGGCAGTCACTAAATGAGGACTACCTATATAGCCTTCGAGACAGTGTTGACTCCTGGTGACTGCCTGGACAAGTCTCTGCAGTTCTCACAACAAGATTTCAGAAGTGGTTTGCCCTTGATTGCTTCCTACAGCTGATAGAGAGTGACCCAAGGTCACCCAACTGGCTTTATGCCTAAGGCAGGACTAGAACTCAGAGTCTCCTGGTTTCTAACCTGGTGCCTTAACCACTAAACCAAATCAATCTAAAATAAGTTATAAAGAGCTAAAAATACACTTCTATTGCCTGTAGCAACTGTAGCACTTGCATAATTATATGGCCAGTCTTGTTTATAGACCAACTGTGGTGATACAAACTATTACAGTCACATCATCTGCAAGTTAAGCAAGGTTTGCTCGTACTGTTTTTTTTTTTTTAAATAACCATATAGCATATTTCTATACACACAAATATGACTGTCATGCTATTCCCTTTCAGGATAAGCAACACTGTAAGCACCAAAAACAAGAGTAAAAAATAGTAAGGAAAGAAACTGTAGGATGGTGATAACAGGGGAAAAAAGGAAATAATCTAGCTAAATCTACTGAACATCAACACTATTTGTATACATCTTCATACAGTAATCCATACAATGCATTTTATTCTTTAAACTTTTCACCTCTCTTAATGAGGAACTCATCAACTCCATTTAATCATGACTTTCTTGGTATTCCCCTTTCTTGTTTTACAGTTTGATCCTCATTCATTATCTCTACCTCAAAGTACTTCTTTTGTACTGTTCACTCTCTTTGGTATTCAATCCATAATCATTCATCGCCCATTCACCATGCATACTTTTTAAATAACTCAGTTCCACTGCATTCAACTTACTTTTATGTTTCAATTCACATAGCCAACTCTAATTTCCTTATTACTAAGACAATCAGAGCTGGACTACAACAATCCGGATGACTGCCAGATCACAGCAAAAAGTGAGAATTTTTGCTGTGCCAGATCCGGTAGCTCTATTATAGCAGAGCAGAATTTTTGCAGGCCAGATCCGGTAGCTCTATTATAGCAGAGCAGGCAAAAGCATGAGCTTATACATAGCTATTGACACTTCTTTTGAAAGGGCTGCAAACATCTGGATGACTGCTAGATGGCAAAAAAGAAACATTGGGGACTTTCTTCTGCTATCTAGTGGTCATTCAAAGTTTTGCAGGCCAGATATGATAGTCCTATCTTTCGACAAACATTAATTCCTCACAAACATAACGTACTAGCCATTTACTTTTCTATCTGAATTTGTGCATCTTAAAATATCTCAATTTATTTTCCAACTTGTAGTAAACATTCTACAATGATATACATATCCATCTTCTTGTTCTACTTTTTCACCATTTATTTACAGCTTCCAATTGTTTGGTGTAGTGGTTAAGGCTCCAGGCTAGAAAGCAGGAGATTGTGAGTTCCAGTCCCATCTTAGGCATAAAGCCAGTAACTTTGGGCCAGTCACTCTCTCGCAGCCCAACTCACCTCACAGGGTTGTTGTGGGGAAAACAGAAGGAAGAAGGAATATTAGGTATGTTCACCACCTTGAGTTATTTATAATATAATAACTATATATATATAGTTAATATATAATAAAGGTGGGATAAAAATCCAATCAATCAATCTTCCAAGAAATAACTGAATTATGGAATTGTAGATATGGGGGCCTACACTGCATCAAGACCAAAGGTTTGAGTTACAAAAATCATATATGTAAATATTTGATTATTATCAAAATACAGTAACTATAATTGTTTCTTAATATTTTACTTCTTTTTTACTAGCCCCCTTTCTCCCTCCAGAGGCTTGCTTGGAAGGACATTATGACTCTTAAACTGACATTTCTATTTGAGCCACAGGGCTTGCACCTTTGAAGTTAGTTCTCATGTAGTTAGACAAAATCAACCAGATATAAATCTGTTCATTGCTAAAACAAAGACAGATGGTACCCAGGCCTCCTGCCTAGAGGCTATCCAGCCCATTGCATAGCTCAGGTGGAGAAAGAGATGCAAAATATGAACTTCAATTTCACTATATTTCACTTTTTAAAAATGTGGCTTTTAAATGTGCATTTGGGGACTGAGATGAGGATGAGAAATGTAATCTAGCTGCTTGGTGTTCTGATTTTATATTATTATTACTATTACTGTTATTATTCGTAGTAGTAATAGTAGTAGTTAATAGTATTCATTGGTACTGATATGTCTGATAATTTTGGTAATTTCTGATTTGCCGTAATGTATTATACATATTGTATATTATGCTGTAAATTGCTTATGGCTATATGATTAAAGTGGCATAAAAGCCTTTGAAATAAATGAACAAAAAACAAAGAACCCGGTTCTAATACACTGAAGTTGGTGTAAACTGTAGAAATGGAAGGAACCACAAGGATCATCTAGTCCAACTCTCTGCAGTGTGTAGGAAAAGCAATTCAGTATCCACAAAAAGTGGTTGTCTAGCCTCTTATAAAGCCTCCAGTGATAGAGGACTCACAATCTCCATATGTAGCTTGTTCCAGAGTTGTATAGATCTTACTAGTTTTTCCTTATATTTAAACAAAATACAGATAGATGTAACTTAACGCCCATTATTTCTCTTCTACTTTCTATGGAAAATAGGTTCCGACCATCTTCCCTATGGCACTCTTTTATGTACTTGAACACTGATACTGAATCTCCCCTTAGTCTTCTTTATCCCAGATTGAACATCCCAAGTTCCTTTAGCCTGTCTTCACTGGGCATGTCCTCAAGTCCCTTTAGTATCTCTGTCATCCTCAGTCTCCTGTGAACCTGTGGAGTCCCTGGAGTTCTCTGAGCTTGGCTGTTTTCTTGCAAACGTTTCATTACCTAGCCGGGGAATGAAGGATTTGCAAGAAAACAGCCAAGCTCAGAGAGCCCCAAGGACTCCACAGTTCAACCCTGAGGTACACATATTCTCTGAACCTGTTCTAACTGCCAGTATCCTTCCGGCTACATGGTGCCAGAATCATACACAATATTTCAGGTATGGTCTCACCAATGGAGAGTAGTGGGGAATAAGGACTTCATGTCTCTTTGATACAATGCTTCTTCTAATGCAACTTAACTGCATTAGTCCTTCTAGCTGGTTCATGTTCAGCTTGTTTTCAGTGACCACACCCAAGTCCTTCTCTGATATAGTGCTCCCAAGCCATGAATCCCCCAACTTATTGTGTGCCCTATATATTTCCATTCTAAATGTAACACCTTATATTATTCTCTGTTGAAGAACATCTTGCTCCCCTTAGCCCAGTCTTCCAACCTGCCAGATTGGATTGCTATCTCATTCTGTTATCTGGTATACTGGCTATTCTCCCCAATTTTTGTCATCTGAAAATCTGATAACCAGTCCCATTATCCAGGTCATTAGTAAAAATGTTGAATAATTTTAGCCCCAAGAAATCTTTAGCCCATAAGGGACATACTGATCGCTGCTCTCCAACTCAATATAGAGCCATTAATGCTGACACACTGAATGTGGTTACCCAGCCAGTTATGGAACCACCTTACTGTAGTGCCAGGCACTGACATTTAACAGCTTGTCAATGAGAATGTTATGTGGAACCTTGTCAGACGCTTTGCTGAATAGCCTTCTCCTTATTCACTAGTTACTTTGTCAAAGGAGGAGACAAGGCTTGTCCCATGTGACCTATTTTTGACAAAGCCATGTTGATGCTTAGCAATCACAACACTGTCTTTAAGCTACTTTTACAAATAGCCAGTTTTATCATTTGCTCCAACATCTTTCCAGATATCGATGCCCATTAATGCTTAATAATTATTTGGACCTTCTTTTTTCTTTCTTTTCTGAAGTGAAGGACCATATTTGCTTTCTCCAACTCTCTGTCACCTCCCCAATGCTCCAGGACTCAAAGATTACTGACAGAAGATCCAAGTGATCTTCAGCTAGTCCCTTCAATATTCTAGGGTGTATTTCAACAGGGCCTAGGGACTTGAAGGTATTCATAGCTTCTCAGCTTTTCTACAATAAATTATTTATCAAAGTTCCTGGATTCTTACATTCTTGTTCAAATGTTTTAAGCCTAACCTGACAAGAAGTGTGACAGCAGTAAGAAAGCATGCCCACTAAGACACATACTCTATAGCCCAAACTGTATTACACAGAAATCTTGCACAGATGCTACTCAAGAGTCCAATGCACCTCCTGTCTCCATAAAATCTTAGAACTTGTACTTCAGTCTCAGTAACTTGTCTCTCAAAGAAAATAATCCTGCTATGCTGACTCCTGAACACATCCTCCATCACACCAGCTTCTCCCTTAAGACCTGAACATGTTATCTGTCTGGCCTGCGGTTCCTGCCTCTAGCATAATACCCATAAAGTAGTTTCCCAAAATGGTATTCAGTTTCAGACTACACCCCCTGCTTCTGGGCAGAATTAACTGCTTGTTACCTATGGCTTGGGGCAGGATTCCATGGTAATTTTGGCTGCATATACCCAGTAAATTTTGACACTCCTTTCAAGTCAATGGTTTGTGAGCCAAACCTACCTCTCTTAAGCTTCTGTTACAAACAGGTTAGAACTGGTTTTGATTAAATGTACTATTTTTATTCAATGAAATGTCCTTTAGAATTGCATAAACTGTAAAGGACTCACATATTTCCAGTTTCAATACAATACTAATACATTTTTCTACTTTTTGAAAGAGCTGCTTAGACTGCTGAAAAAGAACAAAGGCATGGCAAAAATCTCTTCTTTGTCTAAGGAACTTCAAAATGTCTTTCAGGTTAAATCTTTTCTCTGTATCATTCAGTTCAGCAGCTCAAATGGCCAGCATACTGTTCAGGTCTCTTTATGTAGAAATCTATTAATGTCTAATAAGAAAAAGAATTATAAACTAGAGAATGACAATAATATCTATAATCTTTTTTTAACTGCTGCCAAGATATTGCCAATCTTTTCTCTCTTTATTTTGCTTCCATAGCATTTGATTCAAAACATGAAAAAAGAAGAGTATTTACAACATAAAATATAGATAATTGTTGGATTTAAAATATAAGAATTATGCAATATTTTATAATATCATAATTAAAAATATCATTCAAAATGTTAGGAAAAGAATACTGATAACATTTGCTTTGCTGAAATGCATCATTTAATGGTGGCTATAAATGTCAATTTAATTTAATTTAATTTAATTTAATTTAATTTAATTTAATTTAATTTAATTTTTCAGTTTTGAGGCTGTCCAACTCCACGACGATTCTAGGCAGCTTACAATTATAAAGAATCAAAAAGAAAACAACATATATCAAAGAAAAGGGAATACAACCGACTGGAATAACTAACCCTATAATACAAAAGATGAAAATGATACCAAAAAAAAAAGCAAAAAAAAAAAAAAAACCCAAAGGGGGTGGACCACCATCCTAACACAAAGCCTGGAGAACAACCAGGTTTTTAACAATTTGCAAAAAATCAGTTAGGTGGTAGCAGTATGGATCTCTGGGGACATATCATTCCAGAGGGCAGGAGCCCTCACTGAGAAGGCATAGTTCCTGAATCCCAGAAGATGACTTCGTTTATTTGACAGGACCCTGGAGTATGCCCACTTCAGCTGACTTCACCTGATGGGTAAACACATATGAAAAACGGTGGTCCCTCAAGTAGCCAGACGTATGGAGGACTTTATAGGTGATAACTAGCACCTAGAATTGCACCCAGAAGCCAACTGGCCATCAGTGACATTTCTATCTTGAAAGATGGATTGGGGGGGGGGGGGGGGAGAAATAAAGAAGCAGATGAAGTCTGGGAATCTTTCAGGGTAAAGAGTGAAATATACATACTTTAAATAAACAAACAAACTGGAATCTATTCAAATGTTCCTGGGTTCAACACTTCTCAGAAGAAAGGAATTCTTTCTTACCTCCTTTTCCTTGTTCAGCAACACAAGCTGGCTATTGGTCAGAATACAGTACTTTGTCTCCCATATTATGGTTTCTGAATCAGGGGACTGGCCACAAGATAGTCTATGAGTTGCAGGTCCTTTCACATCTGGAAAAAAAATAGCATGTTTAGAAAATGTCAGCTACCCACTCAATATTTATCAGATTAACAGAGCAGCCCTATGTATGCTTATTCCCTCTGGGGCAATGAAGCATAGTCAGGACTGCATCTTACAGTATGATTTGCTTACCAAATTTGCAAAAGCAATCCAGTAAACATGCCCCCCCCCAAGCAACTCTACTCAGATTATCACAATTTGTCAGTCTAACCAGCTTTAGCAATACAGTATCTATGCCAACAACTACAGATTCTATGTGAAATTTAGCCTAAGGAGACACACACAAAACACTTTCCCAAACTGGAAAAAACTTGCTTTTTTCTTAGCTCACAATATAAAAATGTACAAATATAGATAATGTGTTAAATCTCCAGCTAGTTTTGCCCATGTGATGCAATTTCTTTACACCACCATTAAAAATCAATGACAGCATTGACTTAGTGCAGATATAATGGAAATCCATAATTTCCACTACAAGAACAAAGCTCAGCAAGCTTCAGGCTAGTCTATTCTTCTGGTCTTTGCCTTCTTTTTTTATTTACAAGGAGGAGATACTATTACTTCTATAGTAAACATCCAGGGAGGGTAAAATGTGTGAGCCCAGGGCTTGCCATGGCTTGTTCATACAGTGTGGGAAAATACAACCTCAATTGAACTGTTGCCTACAATCTGAAGTATGCTATCTTATCAGATTCATCAGTGTAAGAATGGGACATTTAATATTCTGTTTTACAAACAGAAATTGAGACAGTATAGTAATTTGCTCAACAGAATTCATGGCAGACAATTTTGAATGATATTTCTATTACAAATGTTTAGCATTTTTACAGAAAAGAATTCAAAACTCTTCATATACTGAATTACAATTACAATCAATTGATGAAGTAGATCTTAGCTGGAACTATATTATTAGGCCTGATAGAGTACACCTACCTATGCCATTGAATACATTAATGAGCGAGATGATAGAATCACAGGACTGAAAGACAGCTGAAGTGTCATAGATTCAAAACCTTTGCTACTGCAGAAAACTGCTATAACAGCATGAAACCCTCTAATAAAGGTTTACACCTTTCTAGACAATCTTGTCCATTGTCTGCAATGGTCATCAAACTGCTTCTCCAATTGACTCTTCTAAAACATACTGAAACAACAAAACATACCTCGCTCTTTTAAACATTCCTATAGGACTTTTCAGACAAGAATAATCTAAAGTGGAGACATTGCTCATGCTCTCATTATATAAATAAACCTATACATTGTGTTAAGTAGTCTTCAAAATCTAAACTCAAAAGAATCCATTGTAAGTGACTTTTCCCATTCAGAAACTTAAATAATATATTGCCAATTTGCAGAACTCCCTCCAGCAAAGCTATTAAAAATATTGTTTGGTATGGCATAAGAAAACTGTAAAAACAATTATGGGAGACTGAAGAAAGTGCTATTAAAATAGTGGTGGATGAACTAGGGATTTGTAAAATGTTCATGCATGGAAGAACTAGTTCTGATGATCCATGGCCTGACTGAAACATGTCCTTTGAGGAAGAAATGTTTTGTGAAGGAGTGGGAGAAGAATATTTGTGACAATGGCAGATATTTTCTCCAGGATCATGTCTGTGGCTCTCCATGTGCAGAAACTCAGGGAAAGGATCAAACTATATTTTGGTGTGACAATCTAAACCAGGGTTCCCCAAAGTGGTTGATATCAACCCTCAACGGGTTGATGGGACTATCCAAGGGGTATATGTTATTATTGCTGCTGTTGTTGTTGCTGGTCGTACAGTCAGCCAGATGTTTAGACTGGATTTGGCATTTTTATCCACCTATCGAGTCCTTTCCAAGGACCTGCAA